AGAATCTGAAGCAGGCTCCAGACTCTGAGCTGTCAGCTCAGAGCTCAATGCGGGGCTCAAACCCGTGAAGCATGGGATTGTGACCTGAGCTGAAGTAGGACGCTTAACTGACTGAGCCACCCAGGCACCCCAGTGACTAAAGTTTTAATACAGGCAGTCTGTATTCATTCAGGCAGGAGAGGCAAGAGTTGAAGTGAATGTGATTTAGTACTAATGGCCTAGCCCAGAATGGCAGAGAGTGGAGAACTGTAACAGCTCCTTTTGACTACTGGCTTCTTTCATAAACTAGCCTTCCAAAAGGAGCCTGCATACTTCACTTCAACAGAATCCATATTTTTATTATTCTGAGGTATGTTTAACCAGAGGCATCAAATCAGAACCTAAGATGAATGGAATCTATTTTAAGTCTATCTAGATAGGCTTGTTGACTGGAGAAATATAAGTTTTATGGGAGAATACTGTGTAAGTGCAGTCCTAAAGAGCATTTTTCAGAGGCTCTTAAAATGTCAAACAGAGAAATGTATACAAATATTCTGGTGCTTTTTCCTAACCATTTCAACAGAAGGGAACCTTAGATACGACTTTTTTTTGGGGGGGGGAAGGAAAAGAAGGAAAAGAGCCTCTTCCTGGGTGGGTATTCACAGTAAGAAAATCCAGAAGTGTTATTTTTTCTTTACAGCCCAGCTTATGCCCTGTCTACTAATGATTTAAGGATTTATAATCCCATGATGCTTGCTGCTCTTTTTTTTCTATTTATTTTGAAATCCTAAAAACATGTGCCTTTCTCTACCTAGATTCTATGTCCATATATATTTTCAAAACAAAAATGGAAAATTAAAGAACTCTTCCTTAATCCTAATTATGTATGAGTCAAGTATGGGAAATCAAATATGAAAAGAGTGGGCCTTAATTGTTTAAAAGCCAAATCATGGGACGTCTGGGTGGCTCAGTTGGTTAAGTGTCCGACTACAGCTCAGGTCATGATCTCACGGTTTGTGGGTTTGAGCCCCGCATCAGGCTCTGGCCAGACAGCTCAGAGCCTGGAGCCTGCTTCAGATTCTGTGTCTCCCTCTCTCTCTACCCTACCCCACCCCACTCACACTCTGTCTGTCTCTCTCTCAAAAATAAACATTAAAAAAATTTTAAAGCCAAATCATAAAACTATACCCTTATTCTTAAGGTGAATAGAGTTCCTCACTCAAAAGATGTGAGTGCATAATTTTATAGTATGTTGAACTAAAAATATCACTTGGGAATTTTTCTGATCTGTCTCATTTAATGGACCACAGAAAGGTTTGGAGTAGTACTTCTTTTTGAAAATGACCATTTTGGTGGCTTCCCATCCCACCCAGTGTGAATAACATCCAGCGAAGAAGAAGAAGATGACAACGAAGAAGAAGAAGAAGAAGAAGAAGAAGAAGAAGAAGAAGAAGAAGGAGAAGGAGGAGAAGGAGGAGGAGGAGGAGAAGAAGGAGGAGGAGGAGGAGGAGAAGGAGAAGAAAAAGAAGAAGGAGAAGAAGAAGAAGAAGAAGAAGAAGAAGAAGAAGAAGAAGAAGGAGGAGGAGGAGGAGGAGGAGGAGGAGAAGGAGAAGGAGGAGAAGGAGAAAGAGAAGAAGGAGAAGAAGAAGAAGAAGAAGAAGAAGAAGAAGAAGAAGAAACAACAAGTAGAAGTAGCAAATTTGACTTTTATTCAATCACCCTGGGAAACATAATTACACTTTCACTGCAATGTAGTACCTGAAAAACATATGATAACGATGTGAATCTGAAGCAGAGAAGCTTACAAATGCTGATGCTGTATTCTAACTTTAGCGATGAAATACCCAACTTTCCACTGAGGTCTGGAGCTGCTTATAACTTACTTTGAGAACAAGCAAGAATAAAAGCATGGGATTGTGGCCTAGCTGTCAGTGTTTCTAAGGAGCTGAAGGAGATACGCCAGAAAAAATGAACATAGGAGGTGTCCACATGAATCCCATTAAACTGGAGCTCAGGCATTGGGCAACAGAAGGAGAACACAAGGCAGTGAAGAAGAGATCCTTGTCCTTTGACACAGGATGGCATTGCAGGCCTGGCTCCGTGTGGAGAAATGGTGCCTAAGTGAAGTGCCCTTTCACCCTTCCACAGAACTCTGACTTCCACTCACATTGAATGAGAATTCCAGAAAGGGCCTGTTTAAATTTCTCCTTCGCTTCTTCCATGTCTTTCTCATGGGCAGCTTTCTCATTCACTAGGCGGCGAACATGGCTGTTGGCTGACTGGATCATAGAGTAGAAGTTGTTGGCACTGCGGCGGTTCACTTCTCCTCGTTCAATCCAGGTGAGCAAGGTCTGTACAGCCTCTGAGAATTTGGAATCATCTGAAAAAAAAAAAGATTTTTCAAATCATTAAAAGTAACTACGTCTCTATCTACCCAACATGCTGGCAAGGAGGCCACCATGGCATTTTGGAAGTGGTTGTTAAATGAACTGCTGAATAAGGAGCTCTGTGTGCATATGTGTGCACTTGGGCAGCAGACAGGTAGGCCAACTGAAAGAACAAAAGACTCAAAAAGTGGTCAGATTGGTTGTAGCTTATGAAGAATTTTCAGAAAGAATTGTTTCTTTTTTAAAGTGTTCTTTACTGATATAGTTTTCACATGTTGCAAATTTCTTAACCTCTCTGTATGTGTGTTCCCTGTGTGTAATATGCAAATTAGCAATGAGAGAACTTCAGAATTCTACAGTCCTGTTTTTTTAATAAAGAAAAGTAAACTTGTGTCTTGAGTTTAACTTGAATTTGATAGTTACTTTGTCCTGGATCCATGAAATTAGTGTTGGTAGGAGCTTTAAGAAAGAGTTAAATGGGTAGTTCTTTAGGTATAAACACTTACATTTTTGACCTTTTATAGCATCACTCCTGCATTCAATCCACAGCCCCAGGCTTTTCACTCAGTTCCAGCCAATCTATTTTGACGTAATTCATTCTATTTCTACATTTCTCCACATCCTGATTCTCTTGCCTGAGGAACCCTCCAAGTAGATTTCTGCAGCTGGTCAGGAGTTATTCTCTGATGTTAAAATAGTAGTACAGCTTATCCAAAGCTTCTGGTCCAGCTTCCTGAGATAGACACTTAGTATATTCTGTTGTTAAAGGCTCCTGAGAGAGAGAATCCATTAGCATCCCATTGAAGGCCTGTTCTGGGGCTCCACATGCCTCTCTGGCCAGGAACCCTCATGTCCAGTGGAAATAGCTCTCACTGCAATCTGAATTTCTTGCCTCTTGCCATTTTTCAGTGCAGACATATAATGAGAGGTAAGCCTCCCCTTGAGAGCAGGTTTTTATTTCATTACTTGCATACAGTCTTACGTTTGATGCTCATTTTCTGCATGAACTCTACACAATCAGCAAACTCATTCTTTAAAACAAATTCAGACTGACTTGTTTGGTGTTATATAAACATTCCTTTTTTTTTTTTAACCAATGCTTTCAGCCTTTCTAGCTTTTCAAAATGTATCATTATTTCTGTGTCTGTATGCGTATATATCTTCTTTTTTCTTATGTGAAGACAAAATCAATCCAAACAAAGGATTTCATAAATGTGTGAATCCCTGAGGCTATATGTTACAAACAAGTTTGGTGAGTGAGACCTATTTGGAAAGTGGAATTAGCAACATCTTGCTGAGTCCAGAGCACAAGAAGCAGGGAAAATTCATGCCATTAGAGCTGGGTTGGTATCATCAATAAGATCAATGGGACACTAGCATTCATCCAATAAAATCAGCCAAAGTTGGAGAATGAGGGAGACTGGATTTGAACTACTAACACAGGAGACCAGACAGGATGATTAATGTTAAATTAGAATAATGGCTCTGAGAGTCAAGCAGGATAACAGGAATAAAAACTAAAGGGAGAATTGTCCCATTTAGCATGTCTCAAAGTCTCCATGGTCCCCATGTGAAGTAAGTTGGCCATTTTAAGTGATTAAAGAAGTCCTCTTTTGGTTGTGGTAGCTAAGTCTTTGAGTCATCTAAGAATGTACAGTGTGACCACTGTCTGGGCCTCCATTTTCTCATCTGTAAAAAGGGAATTTTACCAGAGTTTTCCAGGGTTACATCAAGTTATATTGTTCTGATTTAGAATTCAAAACTAACTTGCTATCTACAATGAAATGGGATGCTTACAGGTCCCAAGTCATGAATCACAGCTAAAATTCTCTGATGCACAAAGGCAGGAAAAATGTGTTTCATCCTAGTCATTTTATGTGTGGAGAGAAAATCGCCATCCCTTGAGACAGTGGAGGAGCAGAGACACAGGTGTGAGGGACAAATTTTCTAGTTCTTCAGTTACTGGGTACAGCTCTCTATCTGGAAGACTACAACATAAGAAATGCTTAGAACCCATTAGTGGGAAATTCAAAGGATAACTTCCAATGGTACAAATGTATTTATTAAGTTTCCCCAAAGGAAAGAGTTCTTTTAATCACAAAGCTCAAGTGCTTTCTATACCTTTTAGTTTTTCAGCAACAATGCTGCATTCGTGATCTGAATAGTGGACCACTGGGGGTGGGGATGGTGGGCGCAATCTTTCTTCTTCCATCCTTCTACGGTGGCGCTCCTCCCTTGCTAGCATGCGCTGTTTGCATTCCCACTCATACAGGTCATCTCGAGCCTGTGCAAAATCAACGTGGAGCCGGCCTGTGTCCTTCTTGTCAGTGCTAGATCCCAGGCGAATGCGGTAACCTAAATGCACAGAGGGAGGGAGAGGGGTACAAGAGCAGCTCAGTGGGTGAGCAACGGTAAGTACTTTTCCAAGTTCAGTGTTTCAGATATAGATGCAGCAGTTTCAAGTGACCACATAATTCTCTTCCCACTACTAACTAGCAAGGTGAACCATCAAAAGACTTGGATTGTAGTTTCATTTCTGATAACAGTTTATTATTCTATGGGTTGGGTCAATCTTGCTCATAGGAGTTCTATTCCTCCATCTGCCACCTTACCTCAGAGGTAAGAGGGAGGGTCAATGGGTAATGGTATTATGAATGAGCCTTACAGGTCATGATCTCATGGTTCATGGGTTCGAGCCTTGCGTCAGGCTCTGAGTTTGTAGCATGGGGCCTACTTGGAATTCTCAGCACAGGGAGGGGAACTCAGTCAAAGTATGGTGATCTCCTTGAGTTGAGGAAATTGAACTAGGAATCCAGGGAGACTAAGGAAGACAGAGTTTGTATGGCAGAGTACTAGAAAGAAGAAAGCTATACAGAGAAACAACTTCAGAGATCTGCAGAGGGTCCTCCACTATTCTTTAGCTGCATACTGATGTGTGTGTGTGTGTGTGTGTGTGTGTGTGTGTGTGTGTGTGTATGTGTGTGTGTGTAAACTACCCGTGTATTAGAGGTAACAATCCCTGGAGCTTACACAGGGCTGGGAAAAGTTCCTCTCTCCACCAGCCAGAGCAGAAAAAAATGAATAATTCATAGATTATTGAGTAGAGTAGTCAGAAGGGGTTTGCCTTAGTTAGTGGAGAAAAATGAGCCCTAGACTAAATCCTGCTTTGGTGTTGCTGAACAAAACTTAAAAAAACAAGACCTAAAAGGATAAAAGATTTTCCAAGTTACTTAATTGCATCCCAGAACAAAGTTCAAGAATATTTACAGGAATGAAAAATATCTGGCACCCAGTACGGTAAAATTCACAATGTTTGGTATCCAATAAAAAATTATCCAATATTCAAAAAATGAGGAAAATCATAAGAAACATTTAAAAACTCATCCAATCAAAACAGACCCAGAGGTGATACACATAATATAATTAATATACAAGGATACAAAAATAACTATTATAATTGGATTTCATATGCTGAAGAAGTTAAAGTTTAACCATATTAATTAGAAACACAAAAGACAAAAAAATCAAATTTCTAGAGATTTAAAGTACAATGTCTGAGTTGAAAAAAATTCACTGAATAGAAGCAATGGCAAATCAGACACTGTAGAAGAAAAGATTAATGAACTTGAAGACACAGCAATATAAGCTATTCGACATGAAATGCAGAGAAAAAGGACTGTAAGAAAATGAACAGAGTAGTAGTAAGCTTGGAACAACTTCAAGGGGCCTAATACAGCCCAACTGGGACCTTGACTGGAGAGAGGTGAGGGAATAGAAAAAAAATATTTGAAGAAATAAGGGTAGAAAACTTTCCAAATTTAATGAAAACTCAGAGTTCTAAGAATTTCAATGAAACTCATGTACAAGAAACATGAAGGATATTATACCAGGCACATAATAATCAAATTTCTCAACATCAATAATAAAGAGAATATCTTAAAAGCTGCCATAGACATGACACATTATGTGCAGAGACACAAAAAGATAACATCATATTTCTTATTGAGAACGATACAAGCAAGAAAAAAATGAAGTAACATAAGGAAAAAAAACTGTCCACCTAGAGTTCTACATCCAGACAACATATCTTTCAAAAAGAAAGGTGGAATAAATTATTGTTGATACATACATCAGGAGCAGACTCGCACCATAACAAATGTTAAAGAAAATTCAAGCACAGGAAAATGATACCAAATGGAAATTTGAATCTATACCAAGGAAGAGTATACATAATATATGATTCCATTTATATGAAATTCTAGAAAATGCACACTAATCTGACAGACAATAGACCGGTAGTTGCCTGGGGAGAGAAGAGGGGAGGGGTAGGAAGAAGGGATCACAAATGGGGTATGAAGGAAGCTTTTGGGAGAAGTGGACATGTCCATTATTTTGATTGTTGTGATGGTTTCACAGATGTATGTCTGTGTCAATAATACCAAATTGTAGTTTTGAAATATGTGAAATTCATTGTATGTCAATTATTATACTTCAATAAAGCTGTTATAAAGAACAATGCCCATTAACATTCAAACTGCTACACATTATTTTTTGAAAGAAGAATAAATGCATTCCAAATAAGCACATTCTGCTAGGGCCCTTTACAACTGACAATGCACTTTCACACTCAGTCATCTTATTTGATCATCTGAGCCATCAGAAAATTGGTTATTAATAATTACCGTGGCTATTTTTCCAGGATCATGGATAGGATCAAATGAGAGGATGATACAAAAGCTTGGTGTAAACACATGACAGATACCGTGATGCTATGAGGTTGGTGCACCGTGCACACTGGCAGCTCCCAAAGATGCTCAAACTCCAATAGAAAAAAAGTGGTTATTTCTACAGAATGTAGAAATGTAGCCCCTTTTCTAAAGGATTTTTGTTTGTTTTAACCTCTTCCTTTTATAATGTGGGAGAAAAGCCAAGCAATTCAGGAGATTTCTAGCACTTATGAGCTTTCAGGGAGCAAGTTAAAATTTAAAGGGCAAAATTTAGCTATTTTCACATCACTGATTGCAATCCCCTTTCCTCTGGCAGCCTTGAGAATGCTTCCAGGAGGTGGTTGTTGCCGAGAGATTTCAATGATGTTTAGATGGATACCTCCTGAGCAGCATGCCATCTTTTATGTACAGCTGTTCAGAGTTTTTTTTAAGACCTTTAAGTTTTTATTAAAATAGTCTATAGTGGAATGCTCTATTATCATTCCTAAGTGCTGTCAAATCTTTAGTATTTAGATTTTACAGCACTTAGCAAATGTAACAAGAGTATTCTACATCTCAATAGCCAAATTATGGAAGCAGCCCAAGTGTCCACTGATAGATGAATGGGTAAAGAAGAGGTAGTGTATATACACAATGGAATATTATTCAGTCATAAAAAAGAACGAAA